CTCTCGAAGCCTCGATTGGTCCTCCTCGTCGCCGCCTCCGCCGCCTCCTTCGACGAGGTCGACGCCACGGGGAAATCGAGGCGTCGGTCCTCGAAGGTCAGCCCGGCCCCCCTTTTCTAGGGTTTTTTTTATAGGATTTGTTTTAACTATTTCTTTGTAATCTGAAGCGGAGTATGGATGCTGAACTAGTAAGGATCGGGTTTTTTATTTCTCTGCGGTTTCTAATTTTAGTGGAGGGGGGATGATAAATCAGCGGCCTTTTGCGTCTTGTTTCACGAGCTTTGCGTGATGAGTTTGTGTTTTTTTTTTTTTTTTTTTTTCGTTTTTCGCTGGGCGTTGTGGTGATTGAACCGGGTAATTGTCAATTTTTGGAGTGATTTAAGCGAAGGGGAAGGCGCGGGTAGAAATTGAAAATTTTGAGTTTAGTGGGGATTGGATGCTGAATTAGTGGATTTGCGTCTTATTTCATGAGTTCGGATTAAAATCACTTTAGCTGCTGCGTGTTTTTTTGGACAATGAGGATTGTTGACTAAAGTTAGATAAGGTATTAGATTGAAGAAACATAAACAATTCTGTGGGCTGCATGTTGCTGCATAACGAATGAGTTAATGCATTTACCTTTTCTGTGTTGTTGCGGTTATAATGTATATTTCACCTTTTAAACCTACTACCTCGCTTTGTATATATTTAGATTTATTATTTTTGTCTCCGGCAGAAGTCCCTGCTTTCTAATTTGATACAAGAGATAGAGCCTTTGGATTTGAATCTTATACAAAAGGATGTTCCCGCTGATACCGTGGATGCAATGAAGAGGACAATCTCAGGAATGCTGGGTCTTCTACCTTCGGACCAGTTCCACGTTTTGGTGGAAGCTTTTTGGGATCCTCTTTTTAAGTTGCTGGTGTCTTCAATGATGACTGGGTATGCATGTTGATAATGTATCCGTTTACTTTTTACATTGAGGGAAAAAATTGCTTCTTGCTGACTATATTCTTCTACTACAAAATTCAGGTGGTCGAGTTAATGAACTTAATGGCTCAACTAATGACCAAGCGATTTGTGCCAAAACATGCTATCCTTGGGCTATTAAGGCTCCTAACTTTATAGTTAGGCATGAATGCATTAATATAAACATACAAAAAGTAATGATACTCATTAAAGCTAACGACAAACTGCTTGTTCTCTGGTTTCTTTTTTAATTTCTCTCAACCACCAAATCACTTTTTGTATCAGTCATTATTAGCCAATAGCAAGAGTTTCTGCCGGTTTGGCAAATCCAATCTACATGCTTTAAATCCAAATGATTAGGCCAATGTCGATATTCGTGGATATTCAAGGCTCGGGATTAGTGAATAATAATGGTTTAGATGACATAAAATGAAAATAGCTTCTTATGTAAACTCCGTCATCCTCTTCATTTTCTTAATCACATGTATAATTGTACTTTTATATTTTTGCATCATACTTGCAAGCTATCTAAAATTGATTCTTGAACATCCACTTCTTCTTCGATCCTAAAGTCAAATCAAATTCATTTTGTTGTGAGCTTTAGGGGTCTATCCAAGATTTCAATTCTAGGTTTATCATATTCAAAAGTCAACAACATGGATCAGCCTTCAATCCTATGTCATTTTCAGGATGTTATGAGTCTTGTGGCTTGTGCAAATGTATCAATGTAGTCTCTTTTATGATTTTCTATAATTGATCACTATGTCATTTACATTTTACATTTGTTTACAATTTTCTCTCGAATTGAGAAAAATATACATTGAAGTTTAGAAACCACCACATATTTTCTCAACCTCCTTTTCTTATCTAAATAAATGCTATTTATGCATGTATCAGATGTTGGTAGTAATCTTGTCCTGGGGGTCATTCTTATGGGAAAATAGAAGGCTATAGGTACCAATCTTCTGTACTGGAAATAGAAGTGTTGGAAAAGGAAAAAACTTGTGTGATGGGCGGAATGATAAATTATTTTTGAGGAGGGTGATTTAAAAACCAAGAATAGTGGAAGAGACGGATTTAAGATTGTCCACATTAACAAAACAATGAACGGAGAATATAAATCTAGGTATGAAAAGGAAATTGGATTATCAAGTCTAGATCATGTTTGCCAATTTTGGATAATAATCCAATTGGCTTATAGTCCATTTCTGGATTATGAGCTAAGTGACTTATATGCAAAAGTGTTTGGTAAATTTAGTTGACTATCATCCATTTTCAATAGTAGAGTGTTTGCGAAATGGGTGGTTTATAAGCCGTCATTGTTTTCAAAATAACCATTTAATGGGATTAGAGAGAGATAAATAGGTCTTGAAATTTTTGAAATGATGAGTATGTTGGACTTTTACTTGGTCAACCCTTGTGGCTTATAATCCTCCAAAAATAAGCCAAAATAAGCTATTTTCCAAACATGTCAAAGTGGCTGATAAGACACTTTGACCACTTGCCAAACATGCTCTTAATTTTATCCAAATTAAATTCTAATTTTGTCGATAAATATTAGAAATATATTGAGGAAAGCAATTCCACTTTTCTAACGTTACCACCTTTTTCTTTATGTAGAACATAAACTGAATTTTAAAAAGGTATGAGAATATAGAAGTTGGATTTAGCAACTTCCTTTTGTTCCAGTGCTTGACAATCCACTCCAAATTTGTGGATCTGTGAGTTGAGTTCAAATTACTATACTTGTAAAAGCTAATACAAAACAGAAAGATCAATGGTCAAATTTCCTAATTTACGGAACTTGATATTCAAATTAAGGAACTTGATATTCAAATTAAGATTAAGAAAGAATAACAGGAAAATACTCATGATTGAGTGCTTTTTTTTTCGAGTAGTGATAAGTAGACTACAAACCCCAATCCAAATTGATTATGCAATCCAGTATGAAAATACTGTGTTTAGATGAATCTTTGCAACTAAAACTACATGAAATTTGGTAATGAGCAGGAAGCGATGACAACAGAGGATCCAATACCAAAGCCTTGTATTTTTCAATCTTTATTATAAATTGGACGAATATGGGATTTGATGTCAAGGCTTGATCTCTCTGTCTTCGACATTTTAAGTGCTTGAGTTTAGATGTGGGTATATTAAAGTCATCCATGGATAAAAATCCACCAGGGGGATCGTTCAATATGCTTTATGCAAGATGACAGATATGTGTTGGTTTATCTGGGTGTAGGAAATCGAGTAGGCTTCTTGCTAAATCATTTTGATTTTCTCAAGCTGCAAAAGATGGACCTGTTGACTCTTTTTTGTTATTGCATTTTTGCCACATAAAAAGACAAAATCAGAAGGGGAAAAAGACAAATTAAAGAACTTCTGTTAGATGTTAACCTCTTGAGTGAGGTGTAAGATGAAAAATTTCCAGATTGAGGACAAATATAGGGGATACCATTCTGTATTTTAGGTATAGATGAATTTGAAAGTTACTATTTCTCCACTTTCTATTGTGGAATCAAATTGTAGCTTCAAAGAATTTTTTTTGCTTGTCATTTACATATCGCATATGTACCTTCTTACTACAATTCCCTTGCATAAAGAAATTTCTGTGTCATTTACTTGCTATTGCAATATTTTATAACATGTATTTCCATCTGTTTGAATTTTAACAATTTGATTCTCTATCTGGATTACAGATATACTTTACGAAATGCAGAATATAGACTATGTCTTGAGAGGAATCTAGATGTACATGAAGATAGTTCCAAAAAGCAAAATGCAGAGACTGTTGAAGATGCTAGTCATGAAATAACAGTTGATAGAACTCCGACGGTGTTTCCATTTTCTGAAGCAGACAGGCTGTTAACCACCTCTGGAAACAGTGAGGAAGCATCAGCCTTTAAAAATATTGATATTGAGAATCTTGGTGAAATAAGTCCTGAAGCTCAAAAATATATTCTTTACCTGGAATCTCGTATTTCTTCTTCACAAAAGGTATGGTAATAAACCAAGTTGGCTTGCTGTTATGCCTTCATGAAAATTTTAAGGTTATTAGTCTTTGTGTTAATCTTGTGAAATGTTTTTTTTTTTGTGGTTATATCATTAGATATTTGTACATTGAGAATTATATGTCTTTTTGAAAGAATGTTCTTACATTCCATTCTTTTCCCCTAAACTGCCAGGAACTTGATGATCTAAGAAGGAAAAATTCTGCCCTTCAGATGCAACAACTTGTAGGAGAAGAGAAGAACGAGTTACTCGATTACCTAAGATCTTTAAAACCAGAAAAGGTTTTATCTTTTCCTCGTTTTCTCTTTCAGTGGATATTAGTGAGTCAGCTATTGAGTCTCTCCTAACTCTTATCTTTTGGGATCTTACCTTTCAAGTCTATGTGTTTCTTATTTTATACTATAATTAGTTAACGCGGAGTTTAGGTAAGTACATTTTCTCTTGGTTCCTGTGATTATCATGTAACTCCAGGAAAAGAAAATTTTCTGTTTAACATTTGGAAAACCTATACTGATTAATATCCATCTATTTCAGAGAAATTTGTGACATCCTAAATGTACTTAATGCAAGGGAAGAAACAGTTGATGGATACAAAAAGGCACTAATTTTGATATCATGGTCCTATGGCAACTTGGATGGGGAATTATTAAAATTCTACTGAGCAAACTCTCATCTTATCTTGAAGTATTTGAATTTAGTTAGGAGTTTGACTGAATTTGGAGTGTCATTTATACTAATGTTAGTATGGAATAAAAAGAATTATCTCTTTCAGTTGTTGTTCATGCAGCTTATTGTTACATGAAATTCACTTTTCACCATGTTCTGTTGATTTCTTTTTTCAGTTTATTTAGCTAATGGTTCGGGTTTATCTTTATCTTTTATTCGCATGCAATCTATAAAAAAGGCTAAAGTCGAGAGTTTATATTCTGTTATCTTAATTGATTGAGCATTCATACTGTTCACCTGGTTTTATTCATTGTGCTTCTTCCTCTGTATTTATTCTCTATTTCTTTCCTTTCTCTTGATACAATGGTGGCTAATCTCAAGTTCGGAGGAGCTTTAGAGTCTTATTAACAAAGCTATGAGTGCTAGAGGTAGGCTACGTTGGACATGGGTGGAAACAATTAGATAGAACATGTTGGTTAGTAATTTAAGCCTGGGAGATGCCTCCTTAGTTCTTACGCAGCTGAATGGAAGTGAATAATTAATATAATGAAACACCAAAAGTTGAGGACAAAGACTGTTTCTTGTGTTAGTATGACTGTTGTGAAGCCAGCATTGTATGATAGACATTGTTACTGTTAGTCTTTTCCTGATTAAAGTACTCTTAGCCTTTTTGCCCGATTAAAGTAGTATAAGCTCTGCCATATGGCACAATGCCATCCCTTTCCTGTGAAATGGATCTTATCTTTTAAGGAACTAAAGATTCAGCAATTTTTCAAAGGCAGAAGTTAATATCCGCATATCATGAGTCCATGACAATTAACAGAGTATATCCCCATTATATTCCAAAATGTTAAGATTCCGTTCTCCTAAATTAGTCTTCTTTCAGTGCTATAGGATTGATGAAGTGTTGTCTGAGCTTTAAGTATGTTTCTGCTCATTTCATATGTTGTTAGATTTGATTGTGGCAACAATATCTGAAGCAAATAAAGAAAGCAATAATAGAGTATATCTTAAAGTCAAAGTTCATGATGAAAATCATCTTACATCTGGAAACTTTAGGAAACTATTCTTCATTCATGCATAAAGAGACCCAGAAAATGATGACATAGCGCTTCTGTTCGTATTATGTTATTAACACATTTACCAACTTGGTTTACATACAGGTGGCTGAGCTCTCAGAACCGACCTGTTCTAGTGTGCAAGAAACGATCGACTCTGTAGCACACGGTCTCCTTGCAACTCTTTCTCCAAAGATGCACACAAAAACTCCTTCTCCACCTGAGAACGCCCCTAGTGGTACCCTAAATGTGGGGAATGATGATTGTGCAGAGCTTGTGGAGAACACTTCTCTTCAATTCCAGCCCATGATTTCCCTCTCACGAGATTATTTAGCCCGCCTTTTATTCTGGTATGGTTGGTTTTATGCCTATTGCTCTGGTGATTTAAGTATTATTTGTCTCCTGACACACCAACAAAACAGGAGGAAGGTTCTGGTGTGGAGATTTTGGTGACCTTAAAGAGAAGATCAATGAAATGTTCACATGTCCTCGTTTTGTTTGATGATGAAGGGTTGCCGATATATCTCCTGTACTATGAGGGCATAGCCACTTATACTTTGAACTATTTTATTAGCACTTACTTCCTGGGATTCTAGGTGAAATTATTTCTCGTTTTGTTGAGATGTCACATGGGAATCACATGACAAGAAGTTACCTTTTAAGACTCTCAAGTGAGGACAAAAAAGTAACATCGTGAGAGATTCAGGTGTTTTAAGTGCTGATAAGTGGCTACACCACCATGGTACAAGGGGAGCATCTGTGATTTAACCATTAAATTAAATCACAAAACAATTACACAGTTCTGTAGAAACTCTTCTTTGAAAACCAAGTCACATTGTCAGCGTTGATCTTTAGAATTGATATGGCTTTCAGGTGTATGCTACTCGGTCATTACATCAGAGGACTAGAGTATCGGCTGGAGCTGATGCAGCTATTAACCATCTCTGGAGATACAGAAACTACTACTCACAATGGCGATTCTGCTGCGTGAGACCAACTTGACGTTTATATTCGAATTTGCTCTTGGAAGGTCTCTTCAGCTACGTGCATCCTCCTGGATGAAGTTCTAAAAAAATCGGCCTCAGGATGGAGAGGACTGCTTTTGTTCCAAATTGAGCTACTGCTGCTTGTGCTTCCAGTCTTAGATACATGCAGAGCCATCGTCAGGTTTTTTAGTGTTGTACGAGATAGCAATGTGTATTGACGTAATTTGTTTATGGAGATTTCCCAAATAATAGCGTGAGCAAAATCAGTTGGACTGTATTATGTAAATCCAATTATATTTATATAAGAAACAGCATAAACTGAAGTTTGTACTGCCAAAAGGTGAGGTAAAGCGAAACTCATGATCAGTTGATACTTCTGATCAAATCAAAGGAAAATTGTGGAGAACTATGTCAGTCAGGTTTCACTGTGTGGAATAGCAGTCTCTGCAGATAAAATAGTCATATGGAGATCACTTCTCGATTATAATCCTTTAATAGTGTATTTCCTTTAATATCTGCAGATATTAATAGTTGTGATTGTTTCCAGTGTTTTTCCCTTAAGAAAATGCATATACAATGTCAAAATGCTGAATAGCCAAATAGGCCCTTAAAGTGATACCTATTTACCATTTTGACTTTTAAATTGATACTGACAATACTTTGACGTGAAAGGGGTGTTCGGTTTAATAGTGAGCAAGAATAGGATTAGGAAAAAAAAATGTTTTTTATGGATTCTTTTCTAATCTATAAAAAATTTAAGAATAATTTCTTGTCATAGAATGTTGTGGGATCCCTTTTTTTTATCTTCTATGTTTGTTTCATAACATGAAAATATAGAATCTAATTTTTAAGAAATCCTTCAATTCCTATTCTTTTGTTTTGTTTGGAATGATAAATTTTTTGGAATAAATGGATGACAACACTATAAGTAAACTTACCACTCACTAATGGACAAAATATTATTAAGTACGAAGTTGGGGTATTCTTACCCGTTTACCAAAATTCAAAACCGAAAAAATCATGACTCCGACGGCTAGTCCCAAAGCTTTGGAGGCTATAAATGTGGATTGAGGGTTCATGATGCCAATATATCCATCATTCTTACCATCATATCAAATTCTCATAGTTTGCAAGTTCTTTCTCCTCCATCAATATGATATCAAAAGAATGCCCTAAAATTTTTGGAAGTTTGGTGACATTGAAATCTCTAAACACCCATGAAAATGTGCAAGAATGGTAAAAATAAGAGGAGGTATTATTGGGGGTGTGCATGTTTGAGTGGGCTCATGAAGGAGGAGAAATAAGCAACTAAGAAAACCAATTTGTCAAAGAAAATAAGTGTGGAGATAAATATTTTTTGAAATCAAAGAGGTTGAATAAAAAATTGAAACTTGTCAAAAAAACAACTACTAGCTTAGAAAATTTCTGCAATTTTAGTAGTGATATTTTGTATTATTTTAATTATTGTAAACCGCATGTCATGTACTTGTACTTGCAAAAACTATTGATATTGTAATGGACATTTTATTGGAATTGAGTAAACTATCATTACAAATCTAGTTGATATTGTACGGCTCAGGAATAAGACATTTTGTCGAATTTGAATGTCCCACCTATAACTTATAGTTATTGTAGATTGCATTCTAATGATGGATTGCATCACATAGACATTGTCAATTCAATGTAGGTTGTATTCTAATCACAGATTATCTCATTTGAACATAATAAACGATGTATGCTAGATTACGTTCTCAGTAAAAGACAATCATCATTGCCAAATATTAACTATGAAGCATCACAAGCTCCAGCAGATAATATACTAAAAACAACAAAGTCAAAGAAAGAGCATCAAAGCTCCATGAACCGAAACCACAAAGCCAAACAAAGAGCATCACAAGCTCCAACCGTCAGCAACAAAACCAAACCAAAGGAGCATCACAAGCTCCATCAACCAAATCAACCGAAAGTAGCAAAGCCAATCAAGGAGCATCAAAAACTCCATGAACCGAAACCAACAAAGCCAAATAAAGAGCATCACAAGCTCCAACCGACAGCAACAAAACCAAACCAAAGGAGCATCACAAGCTCCATCCACCAAATCAACCGAAAGCAACAAAACCAAACAAAGAGCATCACAAGCTCCACCAACCAAATCAACTAAAAGCAACAAAGTCTTGGAAGGAGCTGTTCGTGTCAAAAATCGTTTTCATTGTCGTTGAATCCATTGCACGTTTATCGCTTACAAATTCAAAATAAAGAAGAAAATTAGTCTTTTTATAAGACCTTCTTACACAATGAAAATAAACAGAGGGATCTCCTAGAAACACACGCAGGATCATTTATCGATCGCTGCTTACGTGGGATCTTTGCCTGTGACGGGGATTATTTGATCCGTGGACCATCAATAATCAGACCCGGTTATTTGATCCGTGGACCACCAATAATCAGACCCGGTTGATTTCATTGTCTCTCAAAGGAAACAAAAAATTAAACTGAATATCTCAGCAATGATGGGATAAGCACTCTTCTTAAGATCAAATCAAAGTCTGATCTCAAGAAAACTCCAGAAGGTTGTTGAAAGGGTGCAGATCTATCGAACTCTTCCTCTTTTTGTTGAAGAACTCGTCAAGAACTCACTTCCTCCTCTCTGAAATTTGTGCAATTCATTCTCCAAAACATCAGGGCTTCGCCGTTGCTCCAAAATTCCAGCTTACCCGTGTATAGGGGCTCTAGGGCTGTATTTATATGCTCCAGAAGTTCTGTTTTCGGATAAGAACGGATGATTTGATATCATCTTCAGTTATAACCACTTAACCACGTTCAAAAATAGCCTCAAATCAGTTGGAGAGGCTCTCGACTGAAGGAATCCTGAAATCTTATCGAAAAATAGGTTTTCGGGAGGTTATACGAACGAAAACAGTTTTACCAGGCGAGAGACACCACTGGTGTCTCACCCTTGGTGCGAGACACCATTGGTGTCTCGCCCATTGGGTGAGACACCGCTGTCATTTCTCTATTGTTTTGCCTCTAATTGTTTCGTCTAATCTCGGAATGAAACGATTCAAGATGCATTGGAAAGATGGAGAAGAGATCTACAACGTTTGTATTTTGAGCTTCTTCAGATTCAAATTTTATCATGACCAAAATGTTTGAGACATCATCGGTGTCCTGCAGGTGTGAAGCAGCCTGCACAGTCTCGGTTGTTTTGGCTCTAACTTTCTCGTCCGATCTCAAAATGAGGTGATCCAAGACGCGTTGGAAATATAGCGAAGAGATCTATAATCTCTCATAGGTGAAAAAATATATGGAGTGAGTGATACATGAGTGGTGCTTCGTCCTTTGTGGGTAAAACACAACTCCTGATTGAGTCGTTTCTTAGTTATCTTGTCATTCTATTGACTCGTATGCTTCATTGATTCGCTTTGTACATTAGTTTACTTCCCTACAACATCAGATAATCCTCATTGACTCGGATAATGATGGTCATCATTTTTTCTCCATCGCGAGCTGCGTACAGAAACCCATAAACAATTTTTGACGCCTACAGGAGCATCGCCCAAGCATATAAAAAGAAACAAAGGAATTCATACCGGAATATTTTATAAAGTTCAAAGTATGAACTCATTGGTCATTCCCATCAATATTCACCTACATCAAAATTTAAAAGTACCAATTCATCAATTACATACCATCATAAGTTAGAGCATAGAATATTAATAACATGTTAACATAACATAATCATTGCAACATTTATAGTTTGCAAATAACAAAATAATATGTGTGTAACAATATATACTTGTGCACAAACAAAATGCTCCAGATCAAAAACAAATGAGCTAACAGACCAACCTTGATCCTTAATTAGGTTGGTGATGTACCTCTTCTGAGCTTCCTTGGTTTTTATAAAAAAAACCTTCTACCCTCACGTTCATTGTCATATAAATGATCTAACACCCTATCGAGAAATTTATCAGAATATTCATTGCTATTTTCCTTCAAAGTTGTAGCCAATTGCTCAGTCCAATGAACAATGTGTTGATTTCTAATTGACCGGGATATTGACTCAATAAAGGCACATATCAATCTTCATCATGATTCGATTTTCTAAGTTTTTTGTTAGATGATGACTTCAAGTTGTCTTTACTTTTAGACTTATATCTAGCGGATTCTGCTTGATTGTGAGCATCAGATTGTGGTTCAGTTTCACTCTCTTTTGGAATCACACTATTATTATCGGGAATAGGTACGAACCTACTAGACCCAATGTTATCATACACAGGCCTAGTAAATTCACCCTTAGCTTGGTCATCACCTATTATCACTTGTAAATTCTTGAAGTGAGGAAGATGCTTGTTTATGTATGCTTTGAGCCTAGAATTAGATTTATCCTACAATAACAGATACCCATAAGTCTTGTAGGTTTACATACAAATATGTGCACCAAATGTATAAATTAGTAATGGTATTATTGGTGCTAAAAGTAAATATACATGAGATCACGTTTTCAACATCTCGTCATCAAGGTAATCATTTTAATTTTTTCATCCCACGTAGCTTCATTTATATCAAGGCAAGCCTTCATGTCATTGAATTTGTTTCTAAAGCATTTCAAGTGGTTAATGACATTAAGATGAGTGAAATTAGACCTGAATTGCATGTTTATTTTCATGACTGCCATTTTATAAGCTTCCGCCTTGAAGTTCTTGTCTGGCTTCAACTCATCTAATGCTAATTCTGCAAGATAAAGAATGAGAACATCTTCGTGTTTTGGAAGCCAAAACTTCATAGACACGCCCCTTGAGTTCAACCTCGTCGACAGGACCTTTTTTTATGTACTAATTTCTTTCCTTTTTTCTTTGGCGAAATCTACTCCTTACCATCAATTTCATGTATTACTTTCCCACATGAATCACCAGTGTTTGGTGAAAATTGATGAGGTCCACTACTTTGAGAACTATAAGTGGGTAAAAGCAAACCTTGTAGGTTGTTTAGCATGCTCATGTATGACACCAGTCGCAAGTCATTCCACTATAATTTCCATCGTATGGTGAGAATTGTGAAAATGTATGAGGAGGTGAAGTGAAAGGTTGTGGTTGATAAGACATGAAGTTCATGTTAATGTCAGCTATAGTATTTGGCATTGCATTTGAATGAGATGGAATAGTTTGTTTATCTACCCCATTGTTAGACATACATAAATATATTGAAAATATAGATATATCATTATAAAAAGAATCTAAAAGAATATATGTGATAATCATAAAAACATTTATTACAGTCCAAAATATACTATGGGTAGTTGCGGACATTAAAAGTCATAATACATTACATAAGAAGCATAAAAAACCAATAAGCAACAAATAACACATTAATTTAAGCCACTCTCCATTGTATTACCACCATTATACTTTAGACAATAATCCACCAACATCACACAAACAATTTGATCTCTGAGCTCCTTCCATTCATTTCTTATGTCTCGATCCTCTCTCCATGTCCTAGTATAGCCAACTACAGTTGAATCATCTTTATTTGTCACTTCCTCATTATCTTCATCAATTTCTACATTCTCATTTAAAATATCATCATCCGAATCTTTTAGGGAAATAAAATTATGCAACACAGTACACACTAATACAATATCCACTTGAGTGGGAAATGGATAATTAGGCTTTACCGATAAAATTTTAAACCGGTTCTTCAATATACCAAATATGCATTCAATTTTTGATCTTAAAGATGAATATCTTAAATTAAATAAATCTTTTCTATTCTTTGGTGTCCTACCAGTGTGTTCTTTAAATGATATTGTACGCCACGATATGGGGATATGAAGCCAAACATGGTGGTGTATCCAATGTCACATAGGTAATATTCACCTACATTAAATGCAACAATATCTTATGATCTCAATTATTGACAAGTATTTAAATTATTATTCAAAATATGAATAATTAAGAATTAATACCATCGTAAGGCTACAGTCTCGACAAAGCGTATTGTAATATCCTATAATCATTTGCTTCTCCCTCCCACCCAGTTAAGACATAGGTGAATAGTTTATTGGGGGTGCAGGATGCTAAGATGTTTTGTGTCACACCTTTGCGCACTCTAAACCGTGCAATTAGATTACTGAGTAATATTGTGTCAAAACATGTGTGCCATCTACCATACTAATGCAATCCTATAAAAAATTATAAATTATAAAATATTCAATAATATGTTTATTTATTTAAAAGAGATTTTAAGACATATATATTATTTTTAGGTTAAAGTAAGGAAAATAATTTGGATTGTTTGCAATCTCCGCAAGAACTTTATTAGGAGCTTGCTTCATGTAGCAATCACGTATCTCATTCATTGCTTGTAGGACTTTAATAATATATTTTACTCAGTCATTATTATTCTATTTTAGTTTTATGATATACTATACTTAGGAACATAATAAGCTGATCTTCAACTTGAACATGTCTTGTATCCTTTAATAGACCATTTGCTTTCATTATTTTATTAAGTTTAAAAAGGGCCATCGGTCTCATTCCAATATAAGATAGACAACTATCACTATAACCTTCCAATACATATTTGAAGTGAGCATCTATGATATATAATTTTTTAATATTTTCTTCCCTCGTATAACTAGAAATTGTCTTTAGTTTAGCACGCATTCTCAGAAGACAAGTTATTATCGTGATCACGAAAAAAACAGTTGTATTAGCACACATCCTCTTTAATTATCCTTCATCTACGGTATCCATCTAAATCCATTGTAAAATTAGGATACATTAAGAACTTAATTTTTCCATTTATTCAAGACATAATAATAATCAAATAACTAATTCATATATTGAAATCTTAAAATAAAATTACTAAATATCCATAAATCTAAACATGCATCTCTGATCACATCAGATTTCGTAAAGAATTTCAGTGGAAATTATTTTTATAAACTAGTTAGTTTAGCAATATATTATGGTTATCCACTTAAATATACAAAGTCAACATACATAGGGAATTTTTTTTCAATATTCTTATTTAAAAAAACCCAGAACATATATATTATGGCTGCAATAAAAAAAGTAGTCTACATTATTGTTAACTTTCACGATATTTGGGATGTGTTAGCAAAAACCCTAGCAAAAACAGATAAAACACAAAATTTATAACAGATTATTAGCACGTAAGAAACAACGAAGCTCTAAATTATCAAAGTTTGATTGTCAAATCAACCATGACAAATAACCATCCATGATCATATATTAATTAAAAAAACTGGGTTATTGATTTATATCTCCAACTGCCAATGTTCTAAATCAAGACTAAAAATTGAAGCTCAAAATTGAAGTTTGGGATCAAAACTTGAAATCAAAGAACGAAGCTCAAGATTGAAGCTTGGGATCGAAGCTCAAAATCGAAGAACGAAGCTCAAAATCGAAGCTCGTAGTTGAAGCTCGAAATCGAAGAACGAAGCTCAAAATCGAATGCACCCCTTGATTTTATAATCGAAGCCACAAATTCAAAAAACAAAGTTGAAAGCTTAGTGTCGTGATCCCTTTGCGTTTTCGAAGGGCGAATCATCAAATCTGCTCTGAATGACCACGTGTTGGTGAGGCACAAACAAGATTGAGAAGAGGCGGGAGGAGGTTAGCGAGAGAAGGCCGAAACCATTCTAGGGTTTGCAGTGCGGCGGAATCCGAAAAAGAAAGGAATCGATAAGAGAACTTGGGTTTTAGGGGACGCTGTTAGCTTTTTAACCCAAACCCACCCAAACCCTTCTGATTTGGGTGTCTATAAAAACCCCCTCTTTATCAACTTCATAGATATTCATACCTATAAAATATTTATGAACCAAACTTAGTAATATGATACCATTAGAATTCTTAATTTACAGTTTTACCCCTGTCAAATCCAATTCCTATTCTTAATCTATATAAAAAGAGTGAAACAAACACCCCAAAAAGTGGCAGAGCGACGACATGTTAGGCATTTCCCATAGCCGGCAGCAAATTTTCAGCGAAAAATAGAGTGCTTCTCCAATCAAAAGTTCGTAATGTTGACATCAGGATAAATCACCGAATTGCTCCGTAAAAGCAGCAGAGAAGGGAAGGTTGCGTTGGAATATGGGCATGATATGAGTCACATTCATAAGGTCCATATCCAATCCATCAATAAACGGGTAGAACTTCAAACCGACTCCGCCCAAACATCGGTACAAAAATATTTTAAGAGTTGTTCTACAGGGACCCCAAATCATGGGACCCAAGGGGGGACATGTGAGGTGTCAACCCCTGAGTGCATAATCTATTGTTCGGACATGTGAGGTGTCAACCCCTGAGTGCATGATATATTGTTCATAATCTATTGTTCGGACAGGTAAGGTGTCAACCCCTGGGTGCATGATCTACTGTTCATGAACAGTAGATCATACAATCAGGGGTTGACACCTCACCTATCCAATAGATCATGCAGTTAGGGCTTGACATCTCGCTTGTCCCCCTTGGGTCCCATGATTTTGGGGTCCATGGAATTTTTCATGTTTTAACCCTCGAGGCCTTTGTCCTCGTGAACTGAGGCAAGAATCAGCGATAAATCGAGATCGAGAGGTCAGAAGAGGGAGCGAATTTGGATCGATGTCTGGGTGCGGCATCCGAGCTCTCTGGGTCCTCAACACCCAAGACGCCGTCGTCTTCTCCAAGTAAGGATTAGGGCTTCCTCTTTGGAGAAGCGATGGCGCTCGTCTTGGAAGAGGGAGAGCGAGGGCTCCGGCTCGACTCTGCAGCCTCTGCTTCCCGATGACGCCGAGTTGTCTGCGGCTTTCGCCACGAGAAAGGGAAGGTAATCGCTTGTTTAAGCGGAAAATTGTCTTAAAGTTCCAAGCTTTAGTGCATCGTGAAGTCGTCGAAGTGAATTTCGATGAATTTAACTCATGTATCACTATTCTACATGATAGGCACCACCTTTTTTTTTTGAGGCAGGGGTAGCAATCATTGTATCGTTATTCGTTCTGATATACGTGTTGTTAGAGTGCACGGGCCTTAATTTCGGTTGAACTATGTGTGTTAATTATTTATGCTTTTCGATTAAGCTTGTGGCCAAGTGAAAGTTCATTTCACATGTTTTAAACACTTATGCAGTTGTGTAGAAAGTTTTGGAGATAGTTTCAATCCTAATTCTGTTCGGAGTTATGAACTCTAATTACGGTGTTTATGCAACTATTTACATAGTTGGAACTGATATATGTCGACTTGCTTCTGTGCCTGAGAAAGTTCAAGGGTTTATTTGTTCTTATATGTATTTGCCTTTGAATGTGCTTCCTCTTCTCCTTTAAGAATAGTGTATGATGAAATAATATAGTAAATAATGAGTGTAGGATTGGATTATTATCCTGAAGGACACCGGTGGATACAAAGTTGGTTTATTCTTGTATATTTTGGCCCCAATTTTGATACATCATAGAGTAAATAGCTTTGTCAGTGTGCATATGTGACTGATTTACTTATAAAAGTACTAATTTGTCTGTTACTCCTTACAGAGAAGGTTCTGCACGTGGTTTTGGCATTCGTGTTGGTCAGTCTGCTCAAGGGTCAGATTCTTGGATTGATGATCCTATCACACGCCATATTATAACACTCCGTATTAATAGAGATGAAGGGGATGAGTTTTCTTTATGGCCGTTGGTGTTACATATAAAGGGTGGTTATTGCATTATTATTCTGCCTTTGGTTGAGCCTCAACATTATAAGTCATATGAGAGAATGTGCAGCAGATCTGACTGTGGAAACTTGATTGGGTTAGAAGACAGTCTCTCTTCTCTTCTTCTTGATCTACCGTGCATCACAGGGTATGGTAAGTTTTGCATGTCATAATTGTCAGCATAGCTACTTTTAGTAGCTTATATATTTTATTATATGCATGTGTGTGTGTGGTTGCACACAAGTGCATAAACACACTTATGCACATTTATTTTTAATTTGAATGTGATATTTGTGGTTCTAGTTGGTCGAGATGGAAATTTATAACAATAAGTAGAAAAAAAATATTAGTGCTGATGATACTCTTTATTAACAAATTTGTGCACTTCTACGCAATTGGTATTACTGTTTCTGCTAGCTTGTTTCTTTTATCTCTATTCTAAACTGTACCAACCGTTACTGCTTCTTTATTGCTCTTGATGCTCTTATCTTTTCTCTGGGTTTATGTGTGTGCATGTGCATGCTTCTCTCTGTTATGGGATGGGGGTGCATGCTTGTGGATGTGTGAATGGTTTCCAGTCACGTGTGAGCAGGTGCATGGGTTGTGGTCCTTGTGGGGGAGCGAGGTATTGGGAGAGAAGGAAGGGGGTGGGTGGAGTTAAGTTCGGCTGCATGTGCGCAGGTGGCTATGGGTCAGCAAGCTAGCGAGTGTGTTTTCAAATGAGTGTGTGTGCATGCATGTTGAGCTAAATAGGTTGTATGTTTCATTGTGGTGAGAGATTTTATGCATTAGTAAACATGTCAAATTGGGCTAAACGGGTCAAATCTGACTCACCGGCAAGTGGGCAGCTTGTTCTTGTTTATGATATGTTTGGTCCTGTTCCAAGTAATTTGGTTGGGTGGGATTATTGAGTTAGGTCAAATGTTCCACCTCTTATGGCGGAAGTAAATGGTAATATCCATTATTTAGGTGTTAGGCAATATTTGATTAAAATTACTCAGGTTATATTTGATTAAAATTACTCAATCTTGTCTGGTTTAGATCAATTGAGTTTTTGTTTCGGTAGCCTAAAAATCTATCTTTAACTAAGACTTGATGCTTCTGTTTTAAGTATGATGTATTTGAACGGTTTTCCGTTTCATCTTTTTGTAGGTGGGGTATCTGCAACAGAGTACTACTGCAGCTCAAACAGTCTTTAATTTATGTGATTTTAAATAAGACTCAGAAATTGAACCATTTTTTATAATTTCTTGAAATAGAATTGTTTAGTGGAATATATTGTTAAGTTATCATCTAGTCGTTGGTTTTGTTCTTCCTCTGTCCTGTCTGGTCTTCTCTTTTGTTCATTCTTTTCTTTTCATCAATTCAGATACATCAATCAGCCAGTCCCTCAGAATCTATTTCCTTCCTTCACATACACCTTCTTCCTCCTCTTCTCCTCTTCTCTTTTGTGGAGCCTTATGGTGTTTGTTGACTGTTAATTTCTTAATAAATCTTTTGAATCACATGCCTGTACTTACATTTATTTCTTCATACAGTTATAACCTTTATCATTCTTGTTATTATGGGAGTTCCTGTCTGTGGGTTTAGAGTGCCAACTTATTTGATTTGTCTGTTCTAGCCTGTGAAATTTGGAGGAATAACAGCTAAATTCTACATCTTCAATTATTAGATCTCTACGCCCGTTCATGCAGAAGCTAGCTCAACTAGTATTCCACAAGAATGCCAATTTCTTTCAACTGAAAATTTTGAGGGATTAATTCCTTGAATTATGAAGAGACACGCTGAGTGAGAATAACCTTGAGGAAGAAAGAAGACAACATCTAGACATCACATTAGAACTATGAACCTTGAAGAAGAAAAAGAAAACATGTGACATCATATTGGAACTATATACTTGTAGGCATATTTAGCTATGTTGCAACTTTTACCCTCATGACTTGTTGACTTCTTACCTATAGTAGGTTTTTAGTACTTAGGGTCCAACATTTATCATCAATGTGAGAGGTGTTGTGTATTGAATTTTAGTGGAATGTTTTGAGTGCATCAACACTTTACGGTCAGAGAATGTCAGGCAATTGGGAAATGTTATGTTCAGAAGATGAGTTTAACTGAAACAAGAATGTCTATATGAATGAGTCTCCACATGCTAAAAGATAAGAATGAGTCTCCATATGCTAAAAGATAAAACAAGAAATGGCTATATGTTGGAAACAGCTCCCATTCATATAAATTGAAGGATAACCTATTTAAATGGCCGGGGCATTTACAAGGGGGTCCATTAAGTGTGGCAGTTAGGAGTGTTCACAGTTAATGAAGAAAACTAGGTGTTGGTTTGATGGGGGTAGTTAAAACTTAAAAGGGACATGTTAGTTGTTAATTTAAACTGTTATTGTTGTTATCAGTTCCAAATATTTGGGATAAGACCGTCAGGAGTTTTTTCCTTCCTTTTTTGTGGTTATTACATGATTATAATTTGAAGCATAAAAGAACATTTTAATGTTGTTTTTCTGATGAATTTTTTTTTTTCTGTTTATCAGCGCATTCATGGTCGCTCATGCTATCGGAGATATAGTTACTGGTGATTTGGTAGATCCAGAAGTAATCGTTAGTTCATCTCCCTCTGTAGGAGGGTTATTGGATTCACTGACTGGTAGCATCGGCATAACCAGCATTTCTGCAAGAGCAAAACCTATTGCCGCACCAGTGGCAGGTTCATCAACTTCAAGTGCTTCCACAGTTGGCTCTGTCATATCAGATGCTCCGAGAAGCACTTCCAAACCTGTTGACAAAGAAGTGCTGCGCAGTTTCATTAGCAGCTCAATGCCCTTTGGTCGGTACTTTCTGTTATGGTATCTCTCATCTCAGATTTTTTTCCCCTACCATTTCTTTGTGGTTCGTACTAGCTGCTTTAGTTATAGAGAAGACTAATATTCTTTTATCATCACTGTTGTCGATTCAGGAACACCTCTAGACCTCAATATTTCCAATAATTTTGCTATCAGAATGACTGGATTTTCTACATCAGATCTGCCACCCGCAGACCTCAAGCAACCTGCATGGAAGCCGTACCTTTACAAAGGAAGGCAACGGATACTGTTCACAATTCATGAAACCATCTATGCTTCAATGTATGATCGGGAGGAAATTCTGGATGCTATTTCTGTCTCTGGTCAGGTAAACTGTAGAGCAGAGTTAGAAGGATTGCCAGATGTGTCATTTCCGTTGATGGGGCTAAGATTTGCTCGTGTTGACATTTCATCTTTCCATCATTGTGCTCAAGTATCAGAACAAGGTGTCGATAAACAGTCAATGATGTTTTCTCCACCACTTGGAAATTTTGTGCTGATGCGCTATCAGGCCCTTTGCAGTTTTGATCCTCCAGTTAAAGGCTTCTACCAGCTGTCAATGGTCTCGGAAGACGAAGGTGCATTTTTATTCAGGCTACGATTGATGGAAGGGTACAAGTCACCCTTGTCTATGGATTTTTGTACTGTTACCATGCCTTTTCCTCGGAGAAGAGTGGCATCTTTTGATGGAATCCCCTCTATAGGGACAGTTTCAATGTCTGAGCATTCTGTTGAATGGAAAATTATTATTACTGGCCGGGGTATTACTGGAAAAAGTTTAGAAGCAGCTTTTTCAGGAACAATTCGTTTTTTCCCAAGACTAAGTCGAAGAGTATCTTCATTACCTAGGTCTACATCCGGAATTGAGAGTGAAGAAGATAGTGACAGTGAAGAAGGTTCTAGTAACAACACTAATATGGATGAGTTGTTAATGGAGAAAATGACCAAGGATGTACAGCCTGTAGACTTGGAGGAGCCTTTTTGTTGGCAAGCATACAATTATGCGAAAGTAAGGTTCCGTTTCCATTTCTCACATTTTTGCCTACCACTCACTATGAATTCCTATAGTAACACCTATTCCCTGTTTATCTGAGGCTTGAGGATGCCCATGTTACTTAAAGTTGGCTTTCTCTCTTCATGTAATGCATAATGCCATGGAGATGACTAATTATCATGCTATGCATCCTGATTGGCCTTATTCAATAAAAAATATTGGATGCTGATAATAATATTCTTGGAAATAGAATACCCATATATGATTGCATATCCTTCTCACTGGAACTTAACTTAATTTTTTCAACCAGCACCAATCAAGTTTAATAATGATGCTTAGTATTTACTCTAGGTAAAAAAAAAGAAAGTAAATGAGGCTAGTTTTATAAAATAAAACATAATGCTCCTAAAATTTCAGAGCTTCATCAGTTATTCTCATTATATGTAATATAAAATATATAGCATAATGAAAGTAAACTGAAGCATTATAAACTACGAAAGTTTCTTCATGATCTGAAATTTTCCATCGGCCAATTTTGTTTACTCTTATTAATCAATACAAATGTTTTTAAAATTCATCTTTTTTTGTGCCGGAGAACATTTTCCAGTTCTAGTAGCATAAAGATGAAAATTGCTGCCAACAATTTAATTTTTATATATATATGCTCTGTTCAACCTATTCTTGGGTGATGCAATGAAAGAACTTCTAAAAATTCAGACTGCTCCTACTTTATAGTTACTCTTTGAGTCTGACACAGAGAGATGGTGATCGCCTACTATAAAGTGCTATAAGGGACCCTGACAATGTGGGTTGTTTCCACCTAGGTCTTAGACATGGTGTAGAGCCGTAGATGAAGCGTTCCTCTTTGTTGTCAAGGCAGTATGCTAGATTCATTTCCCCTATTATCACTGCTCCATCTGTCTTATATTTATTAACTGGCAACATTATTTGCATAGGAAGAGCGATTTGCTGTCATATGTGGTTGCACGGCGTTACATGCTCTTTTTCTTTTTCGGTGACTCTACTAGTTGCAAGGGACATAAAATGTTACTCTTAATCTGGAATAAATGTAGGTGTTACTATTTATTTAGAGAAGATACTTTGTGCTTCTTGACTTATCTCTTAGTTATTTATATACTCTGCAGGTGTCATTTAAAATTTTGGGTGGTACACTCTCAGGAATGTCAATTGATCCAAAATCTGTAAGTCCTTCCCTAGCAATCTAATGCTTTAATATAATAGAGTTATCCTACTGTTTAGTTTGTAGAGGTAAGGTTTGGTTTTCTTAATACTTTTAGTAAAGCAGATATCCTGCTGTTTAGCTTGTGGAGGTAAACTGTCGTCGTGCCCTAGTCTTGATGCATTAATCATAAATTCCATTCTAGTTTGAACTGGACCTCTATTAAAAGAGGTTCCACCCTTTGCCTAAGGTTTTCCTGACCGGTGGCCTCTTTGTGCAATTTATTTCTGGATGTTAGATTTGCACCGAATAAAGTAATTCTATCAGATACATCATATTACTGATTGTAACATAGTAGTTCATATTTATGGTGATCACTTGGTGCTGTTCAATCTGGATCTTCTTTCAAATCTTTGAAATAGCATGAGACGAATATTTTAACTTGCGTTCATAAATAAATCTTGCTTTGAGTGCCAGCACTTCAAAAAAATGGAAAGGGTATTTCACTTCAGAGTTTTTGGTGAAGTTATGTTTGCACGTGGTTTTTTTATTTAATGTTCACAGACTGCTGAGTTTTAAATAGATATACCACGTTGTCAGTCATCTGAAATACCTCATTATCATTTAAAATATGATCTTATGTTGACGAAATAGAACCTGGATGCATTTATTTTATCTAGATAGAATTTTTGTACTTTACTTTCTTTTCCTTATTAATTTCTGCATATAATTTTCATGGCTTAATTACTGGATCTTGAAGCTATATCAAGGAGATTTGTGTGGAAATGCTACCATAGTGTTATAAGGCTCTGAAAAAATTCAAGCTACTTGATACATGACCAAAAAAATGTTAATACTCAATTGACCGCTTATCTAGTTGGCTTTATGTACAATTTTGGGCCCAAAACCATCAACTTAAAAACCTCTGATGAAGAGGTTGTCTGAGAAAGTTATCTTAGCATTGGTTTCAACAAGATTGTCGATTAGGAGTTCCTTTCTCAAAATTTCGTAAGATGATACATGGCCAATAAAATGTTGATACTCAATTGACCGATTATCTAGTTGGCTTTACGTACAATTGTGGGCCCAAAACCATCAATTTAAAAGCGTCTGATGAAGAGGTTGTCTGAGAAAGTTATCTTAGCATTGGTTTTAACAAGATTGTTGATTAGGAGTTCCTTTCTAAAGATGATAATATTTGATCCCAGCTTATTACGAACAATTTTGGACTTCAATGCTGTGATGTTGGTTGATCAAATAGTGTTGTTGTTTTGTATAATAAGCTTTTCATGGTCAATTAATGATATACTATTATCAAGGCAGTCAATGCATTAGGGAAATATCATATATCATGTATCACAATAATCAAAGTAGGAATAAATAAGGCTCAAGACACTATCTAGGCGTCTCAAGACTCTCAACTAATTTGTTTAAGCTTTCCAAAGTATTTTTTCCCTTTCTTTTTAAAGATGCAGTATATTTTATTATTTGTAAATGTAATCTCCATAAATTGTCTGTAGATGTATTTCTTACATTATTTTTTATTATTTTGTATATTCAGATTCATTTTCCAGTGTAGATGTAATGAATTAGTGCTAATATCCCATTGATTGTGCATTTTCTTGTTATTTTTTATATTTTATAGAAGTGCATGCCACTTAACCCATACTGTCTACATCTTGCAGGTAAGCATTTACCCTGCTGTAAAAGCACCAGTGGAATCCACTATGCAGGTAACCATGCTTTGTTTGATTTCTCTTCTCTCCCTAGTTATAACTATCATAGTTATGTTCACGTGGTGAAATATATCATTGTCTACATTTAGTTAATACTTGTATTAACGTGGGGAAGTATCTGCGATGTATACATTTGGTTGGGCCAAGCTTTCTAGAATCAGTTGTTGCCCTTAGGTCACACTATATGCGTCATGTACCATTTGGCTATTAGAGAATACACCATGGCTTCTCGTTTGATGGGGCCAGTCTTGTACATCATTCAGATACATTTTATGTGTAATCCTTTCGCTGAAAGTTTCAGTTTTGTGGTGAATTAACCCCTCTTTGGTATTCCAAGTAATCTTTTCTTTTGATGTCTGCATGTAAATGTAGTATTATCAGTCTTCAATTTTGAAGAAAACCAGGCATGAACTTGAAAACTGATACATCTGTATGTTGTATATTGCAGGTATCTTCGGGGGATTATATATTGTGGAATACGCTTGGAAGATGCCCTTTTGCTTCCTCCCCCCAACCTTAGCAACAATAGAATTTTATCATCCTTTTCTAGTTTTTAGCCGCATATAGTCATATTCAGCAGAATAAACTGTGGATCCTTCTTTTTCTTTGGGATCTTGTATGAGGAGAAAACCCATCTTCACGATATTATTGAGAATCTCGATGGAGTCTTGCATTGTTCTTGCTCATTTTTTGGAAACTGATGAGGATGTCTTATATTTTGATAGTTACTGGCCTTGCTTTGGTTCATTTACAATTTTATGTCATTGTTTGTCAACCGCTCGCAAAAACTAGTTTGTTTTGTTGTTGTTGTTGTAGACTTTGTTCGTTGTTATGTGGGATTTTAATTAAAAATATGGATAGTCTGCGAGAAATCAGAATTCATTAAAGAGGAGAGAAACTTGAAACGCAAATGATACCGAGGGAAATAACTTCGTCACTGCTTTTGGGCGACTGAAATAAGTGCCTTACTGCCAACCCTGAAGATTCTGAACTCTGTCTACTTAAATTGTGTTACTCAGCAAATCAACGGCCCTATTTTATTTTTATTTTCTGGTGTGCACATTAGAAATTACAATTCAGTACATACAGAAGGGAAAACCATAATAAAAGCTAACCTGGGAAAAAAAATTGATACTTGTTTCTTATAGTCGACGTATTTTCTAGAACTCGGACAGCTCTGGTCAATGAGTTCATACTCCATTCCGATAGTATCCAAATTCACTGAAAACACATATGACGTGTAATATTCCAACAGTATCCAATTAAAATCCAATGCAAAACTATGGCGTACAGAGCTGAAATAGTCCAACAAGTCAAAGTTGCATATCAATCAAATATTCGGACACGCATGCCCATTGTGAATTCAATTTTTAGCAGTGAAGGCTCAAAACCACGAGAATGAAGAATCTTGCACCTCTTGACGACAAAGTGTCCACATTTTTCATAAATGAAGGAATTAGCGTCTCGGTATCTCATGATGTGCTTAAAACACAAATAAATACATCCTTTCAGGCACACATACACAAGACTAGCAAGCTATCTGGTTGTTAGGAATTGTGCTTTTCAATCATCCCAAGTACACCAAGACAAGAGGAATGACAAAAGGGTAAAATAGATGGTATGCACTAAATCAGTTAGTTGTAAAAGGCGGCCGCTATGACACAGCAATCTGATATTCAGGAATGTCTTCTTTTGGCTCATCACAAATGTCGAGACCCACCAATTCGCCTTGCTAACTGTATGTCCTTTCGCACTGCAATCGAAAAGTGAATACATTATTGTAAATGATAGCAGACTAGAGCAAACACTAACAAGAAGTTCGTAAATAAAATTTGAGTACTGATATCAAAATTGATAGCAAAGAGAAGCCAAATTTGCATATCTTCTGTTTATAGTTAAAGCACCGTCGGCTGCTCCTATGGGAATGATTCTGAGTTGATTACAGGTGATGGCTTGCTTCACAATCATATATCATGAAATGGTGGTTTCTTTTTGATGGAAAAGAGTACTCCATCAAGAACTTAACTTGGTGGATGACACATCTCAATTCCCAACCACGTTACTTGGAGGAAAAAAGTTAGCTAAATGCATTAACAATACTGAGGTTTGACAAAAAATTATCTTCAAATAAAAACAATTTATCTAGGCACCACTGGGAACATGAATATGCAAACATTGTTAGCATCAAAACCAATCAAAATTTACGAATAGTCAATAAGAAGAAAAGGAAAATTAGACGGTCAACTTTTGATTCTAATTTCAACTTACTAAGTGTAACACGTTTTGCGTGCAATGCACACATGTACCCATCTTCAAACAGGTTGACCAAAAACATTTCAGCTGCCTGCAATATAATGATAAAGATAAGGTCGAATGCATCCTGAAGATACAGGTGACAGAAAGTTTTGAAATTTAAGCATAGACGAGGTTATGATATGTGAAGATGTGAATCAATATCATTTTGAACAAAAGCCTTCTGTTTGAGATGATGCTGAGAGGTGAAACCCAACTTTATTTCTTGTAAATCAAGAGATATTTCTTAAAAAAATTGTGTACTCCCCCTTTAAAAAATAAGAAGTGAAAAAAAAATATCCAACTTACAAGAGTGATGATTTTAAACTTCCACAATGTTATACTTGTTCTAACTTCAAAGTAAAGAAGATGTTTTATTAGGGCGTATTCATCTAGTACCCGATCAAAAAGATTCTTCAACATGTTCATAAATTCTCATCCAATTAACATAAAGTACCATTGTAAGCATGCTCAAAACATTTAAAAAGGGCTGGCAAAAACATTATGAAGGAAGAACCATTTAGGCTAGGTTCTTTTTGCCATGTTATGCATGTAGAAACAAAAAACTGCATTGATGTTAATATCAGCTCAGAAGAAGAAAGAAGAGGAAGAAGAATGTTATG